TCTGTTCGTTATGTAAAATCTAAGAAGACTGAAGAAGCACTCGTCACTGAGATACGACCAACACTGTCCCAAACCATTTGACTTTATGCTTGTTTGTGTGTGTGTGTGCATGAATGATCCAATAGAAAAAAAAGATGAAAATTTCTCTGTTCTTATTGGCTAAGGTTAACAATAAAGCCACGCCCTAAAAATTTCTATAGAATCGCTTTTACGATATTGTAAAAAATGTGAAAATTCCGAATAATCAATTTGACGTCAAAATTTGACTAACTGCGTTAATAAAGCTAAGAAATACTAAACAGCGCATAAAATAATTTTATATTATTAATCTTTTATACTATTTTTATTCTATATTTTTATTTTAAATTGTTTTATATTATGATCTTAATATTGTATTTCTAATGCTGCGATTTCTAGAGAATACTATTATTGTAAAATTTATAACTTTAAGACTTTATTTGACAATGTCATACTTGACAAATTCGCTTTCACGATAAGGTAATTTTCAACTACTTTATACACTGAAGATGGTCCAATGGAAAGATCGAAACGTCTATTTGCCATTAATTAAGAATAATAAATAATTGTTTATGACATCTGGCATCCAGTGCATTTGGCTCTCAATTGCCTCTCTCATTTCAATATTTCTTGCTACTTAGTTATATTATACTATATTTTAATATATGTTTTTAATTTTAAAGATTAAAGTAAAATTATAAAATGTGTGCCTACGTTTATAGAACAATCCTTATCTATAAGAAAAAATTTTTTCGAAGTTTTTTTATTTACAGAGAATATCGAAATTATTTAATATACAATAATCTCTTCAAAATTTTGTATTATAATTATTTAATTTTTACCTGCATCTTAATCAATTATACACAAATTTTATAATATAATAAATCTTTCTAATAGACTCAGTGAAATCGACAAGAAAAATGGATATTTTTTGCGATATTGCGAAAGATGAAAATGTTTGAATAGGATTATTGATGTCAAAAGTTTGACTAGTTGTTAATAAATCTAAAAACCTATTGATAATTTGACCATTTTTTTTCTTTTCATTTGGAACAGCAGGGATTCTTTTCTCTCTTACATATGTTATATCCTAACCATTTTTACCTGAGAATTCCTATAGATTTAAAAATTACAAAATAATATATATTCTTCCAAATGGAAAAGTACTTTTGTGATAAAATTTTTTCTCCCAAAATTTGTTATTGTTTGATAGTATATGCTGGAATTTTTTACACGTGGAAGTAATCATTAATTTTATTTATATATACGACTGAGAGCACATAAAGTTTATTCTATTGACACAATGTTTCTACGAACTTTCTCTTTTATGTAAAGCCCGAGAAAATTGAAAATGCAAATCTCGCCTTTGAGGTACAAATATCCCGAACCATTTGATTCTGTGTGTGTGTGAAAATTCCTTTGTTCAAAATGGTCAATCTTTCCAACAAAGCTACGACTCAATTTCCTGGAAAAACTTTCTAAAATCTTTTGACTGTCTTTGTAAAACTTATGATTATAAGACACTGTTTCAATATATTATTGTAGGAAGACCGTTTCGGCATTGCCAGAGATAACCATTTACTCACGGGGTTTTTTTCAAGAAGTAACAGCAAATTTATTATTTTTAGATATATAATTTAATTAAAGATACAAATAATATTAATTCGGTAGGCTCAGAAAATTAATAAATTATTAAATAAAATCAAGAGCTGACAGCCGAAGCCGAGTATTGTGACTAAAATATTTATTTCTTAAGGTAATTCTACCACTGTCCTATTTTACCTGTAAAACGATCATATTTCTGCACTCTTTCTTTTTTATTGATTAAATAGAATAATAAATGCTTTTCCATGATTAAAGTATTATACATATAGAAACAAAGCCGGAACCTATCGATTTTATGTTATGCATTTTTAAGACGCAAAGAATCCTTGCTAATTAATTTTATTATACTATATTTTAATGTATTTTTAATTGTAAGATAAAAGTAAAATCATAGAAAGTGTGCTTACGTTTATATAACAATCCTTATTTATAAGAAAAAAGTTCTTCCATTTACAGACTATTAAAATTATTTAATTTATAACTTTTCAAAGATTTGCATTTATTATTTAATTTTTACTTACATATTAATGAGTTATACACAAAATTTTATAATATAAATCTTTCTAATAAACTCAATTAAGTCCACAAAAAAATATCTATTTTTTAACGATATTGTAAGAAATACGAAAGTTCCGAATAATCAATTTGACGTCAAAATTTGACTAACTGCATTAATAAAGATTAGAAATACTAAATAGCGCATAAAATAATTTTATATTATTAATTTTTTATACTATTTATTCTATATATTTTTAATGTAAATTATTTTATATTATTATCTTAATATTGTATTTCTAATTCTGCGATTTTTAGAGAACTCTATAAAATCTTCATAAAAAAAAGGTTACAAAATTATTTTAATAATATAATAAAAATATATAAATATTATTAGGAGGACTGGGACAGAGACAGAGGAAGCTGGAAAAAGGAGTTGGAGAAGGAGGAACAAGGAAAAGAGAGGACAAAAAAAGGAAGGATGAGGAGAGCATAAAGGTCGATGGAAGCCCAGAAGCGGAAAAAGGAAGAAAGAGAGGAGAGAAAAGGATATATTTGTGTAGAAACAAAAATTGTATTGCATAGAATTATATGGAGAGAAGAGAGAAAGGAGGTTGTAAAGGGTTTGGCGCACCCTTAAAAACGCCCCGGAAATCCTAAGAGAACTCGGAATAAACATTGAATTAAATATAAATATTATTAATTTTAATTTTAATATAATTATATATTTTATATTGTACATTTTACAATAAAATATAAAGTATATCACCTGGAGAACCTTTTAAGCTCAGTGGTATCTTTTGGATATAATTTTGCTAGGTTTTTATTTGGCACGTAATAAGTATTATTGAATCTAGAGAAGTAATGTCCTATCTCTAGATTTTTGATCTCTTTTCGCAAACACAATATTATTTATAAATCCTAAGAGAACTCGGAATAAACATTGAATTAAATATAAATATATTAATTATAATTTTAATATAATTATATATTTTATATTGTACATTTTACAATAAAATATAAAGTATATCACCTGGAGAACTTTTAAGCTCAGTGGTATCTTTTGGATATAATTGTGCTAGGTTTTTATTTGGCACGTAATAAGTATTATTGAATCTAGAGAAGTAATGTCCTATCTCTAGATTATTGATCTCTTTTGGGAAACGCATTATTGATATTAAATCTAAAATGAAAAAATGTAGTTAACATTGTACAAGCATAAAAATCATAAAACATACCTAGTCAGAAATGATCGGTCGAAAAGACGTCGAATCGATATTGATTCGACCAATTATATCGATTTGACATCGATTCGATGTCGATTCGACGTCGATGTAACTATCATTTCTGGCTGGGTATATAATTTAAAGAATACGACAAATATTCATACTTTGTTGCACATAACATATTCTGTTATTTTCAGTAAGAATTATGTAATGCGGTTGATTGAAATTAACTGAATATTTTTCACAGTCGCAAATGTCATAATATGTGTAGCAGTCACGAAAATATGGAAACATAAGAGAAGTATTTTTCAATTTAGATTTGAACACTAAACTACATTGAGAATGCCATCCAACTATTACACCATATTGATCATTTATTTCTCCACTGTAATAGTCTGAGCATAAATGTGTTACAATCATTCCAACTGCAAACTTAATCCTTCTTGTTCTTTTTCTCGGTTGCTTTTTTTCATCAGATGTAGTCTATGTGAAAAAGATAATATATATAAATATACAATTAAAATAGTTACTTTTTATATTATTATATGAATATTAAAATACACGCTGTGTAATAACGTACCCTTATTGTCCTTGTAATATTTCTATATTCAGTTTCAATATTTATATCTTCAATTTCTTTCGTTGAACATCGGTTTAGAAAATTTAATAAGAAACTGACATTCCACCTGAGATGTAGATTATACTCTTGAAGTTCTCTACGGGCATGAATTATCATGTAACATATTATTGTCATCTAAAAAAAAAATAAACATGTAAACAAAATTTTGATTACAGACAAAAAAGTTTATTATTATTAGTTTATTATTTTTACTCATTATTTATAGAAAATAGCTTGTAGAATATATCAGCTTATTAATTTAACGTATTATTTGCGAGACCTGTAATTGAATGTTTTTATTATTTTTTAATTTATATATGTATTTATCAATCCATGTATTGTTTGATGGACTCAATTCCTCGTTATAGTTGTAGATATGTGGTCCTTTTACGATGTTTAATGGATAAGTTCCTTCATTTACATATAAATAATTTGTATGTTTGAAATCTTCTGCACTAAAAATATTATAAAAAAATCAAACCTAAAATTTTTATATATAAAATATACAAAAGAATAAAAAAAATACAGATTTATATACATATGTACATACATTCTTTTAAAACAAAAACAAAATTGTTTAAAAATTGTTATTTGCAAATCAATTAAAATTTCATTTTAAAAATTAACAAAATTTAACAATAAAAAGTTTTTTATATAAAAAATTAAAGAATTGCCTAAAATTATTTAAAATTTTATATTTAATAGGTATACATGTATTTGTGTGTATATAATTTGTATGTGAATAATTATAAAATATGAATATGAGAATGTGTAAATATATTCAAATAAAAAGCAGAAATATTAAAAGAGTATCAAACCTAAAATTGTATACTTACTGTTTCGAATTCCATAATAAAATTTCAATGGAATGTTTTTCGAGATAATTAACTGGTATTACAATGCAAGATATGCCGAGCCTTCTGGAAACACTATAGAATGTAATAGTTTGAAGACGCCTTTGAAGAAATGTTATCTAATATAACATAAATTATATTAGAAAAATTATATTCAACATTTATAAGTTATAAAACAAATAACTATATGTTCTCGCATAGCGCATAATAATCTATAGATATAATGTTTAATATAATTCAAAAAATAACTTACGTAATTTATATATTCCTTTTTCAGATTTAATTTATTCAATAATTGATCGATCTCTAGTTCAGAGAATATAAATTTTTCAAGTATATCCATAATTAATTCCACTTCTGTTGGAGAAAATATCTTATTAGAGGTCGAAGATATTGAATACAAAGGATATTTATCTTTAATACGTTGTCGTATTTTTTCAGCGATATCATCGAACCACATTCTTATGACGGAATAAGAGATATGTGGTTCAAAATATTGTGCTACAAGAGTAAGCAGATGTTCTAAAAGCTGCTTTTCCTTCGGCATATTTAAAAATTTAATAAGCTTGTACGTAAATCGATATTGTTTTAGATAGTGGGATATTAGACCCAAATAATACCTATTTGTCATGTTGCACTTGCGTTGCCTAAAAAAGTTAATATATTAACTGTACGATTACATCAAATTACAATGTTAATAGCAATATTTATTAAATTTTACCTTTTTAACTGTTCAGAAATAATTCTACTCAGTTCATTCAAAACAAAGTAATATATCATTAAATCTTCAGCTATAGAACGCAGAAGACGTTCGAATTTATTTTTTTTGTATTGTGTTAAGTTATTATTCGACATCAGGGACACATAACGCTGCAGTTGTTTAATGTAGTTCATACTTATTCTTATTTTTTTTTCAAAATCTGTTTCTTCTAACTTTTTGCTCTCTTTCTTTATGTTATATTTTTTCCTCGCAGTAGAACACCTAAAATTGTAAATACTTGTAAATATTTAATAATAAATACCTATAAGTTTTAAAATAATTTGCTGTAAATTTTAAAATTAACAAAATTCTTAAAACCAATCTTATTTTTTGATTCTCTAAAGCAAGCACCTCTATTATTACTATCTATTATTACAATTTTATTAAATTCTATTTCAATCTTTTATTAAATTTCAGTTCTCTATATACACACACACACATATATATATATATATATATATATATATATATAATTACATTGTATTAAATTGTACTATCAGAAGCAAGTTCGATGTGCAATAATACAATGGACGCAGTAAATAATGTAATAACACATAATTAACTTAATTTTATTTTTTATTAGTATACGCAGTTATTTCGTCAAATTAAAATAAAAATTAATATAAAAAGAATTTTTAAACTTAAGTTATTTATAAAAAACAACATAAAATAAACTTTTTGTAAGAAAAATACCTGTGGAAAAACTTCTTCTTCCAAACGTGTTATTGCTTGATATTAGATGTTGAAATTGTTCGCACGTGGACAAATTTATGGCATCCTCAATGCTAATATCGTCACGTGATAGAACGATCAAATCAATTTCGGGAGGCAAAGATATACTCGCATCCATCGGGAAAAATCACCAATGCACAAAAGAGATTGTAATAGATGTTATTCACTGTGATTTCGTATTATTAATTTTATTAATATACTTATATGTATACGAATATGAGCGCATACGAAGTTTATTCTATCAAAATTGAAATAAGTCTGACACATGCACTGTCCTTATATGCAGTCTGAAAACATGCAGATGTATTTCCAAGTTTAGTCAAACTCCAATCAGACTTCAAGATTCCAAACTATTCGTCTTTGTGTGTTAAAATGGTGAAAAAGAACTAAAATTCTTCTAATCCTATTGGTCAATGTAAACACTAAAGTCCAAATTCCTAGAGAAATTTTCTAGACAGTCGTTTCTCACAGTGTGAGATTTACAATTTTAAGGAATTCATAAATCAATTTATATTCAAAATCGTCTCAAGTCTTACCTAAAATGCTATCCAGCCATTTGATTCGTTGAATGAGATCTCCAACCAAGTCTGGTCAACCTTCGATCAGACTTAAGACGAGTTTGAATATATGAATTCCGGCCTAAAAGCCTTTGATTCAATATAGTTTTAAGAAAGACTGTCAATATCTTAACTTTTGTAATCTTAAAGATCACGTTAAGTCTTGCATTCACTTAATTACATTTATTTATGATTAGTTCACTCATTAGTTTATTTTATTGTATATTTTTATTAACTCATGACATTTTTTATGTTCTTTTATATTATGCAGTTGCGTTATTATTTACATTATTTACAATATTTGTGTTACTTGAATTGCGCGCGTTACTAGGGGATGCCGGATGATGTTTTTACCGACCGAATGCGAGAATATTTAGTTTTTTTATATAACTTTTTATTGACTATACTGATCAATAAATCCTTTTCCACGATTAAAGTACTTATAAAAACGGACCGCGCTAGCTATGTTTGCATATATAAATCATATAAAAATAAAAAATTACAGTTTTGTTATCGGCTGCTTTGTGTCAGTTCGTAATAATACTTATTTAATAAAAAAAGTTCTGCAGTTTGTCTGTGCATAAAATATAGTATGCGCGGTGAGGATAATATGAAGAATTATTAGTAAACGATTAAAAGTGAGATTGCAAGTCTAATAAAAAAGTTATATATTAAAAACATTTTTACTAGCTCGGCGCCACTCTAGCGCGATATCCCTCTCAGCGAGAAGATCTCTCTTTCTTTTCTGCATGTTCGTTGTAACATTTGTAGACGCGAGCCCATTAACTTGGGAAGTAAAATACCGAGCACGAGGTATATACAGGTCATATATCTTATCTATAAAATCTTATCTTTGAAACATCTTATCTTTAAAAATCCAAATGTCACGCGATCGAATCATAGTTGTTACAGAAAATTTGTAAATTCTCATTACTTCAGATTGTCGGTAAACAATAATTGTAAATATTCCTTCTTTGCTTGTCGTTAGTATTTTTCCTATTTTTAATAATTTATAATAATAATTCTAATATTAATCAGTTTTCTAATAGTTTTAATAATAAAATAATAGTTCAAATAATGTATAATAATAGATTTAATAATTTATTTAAAAAAAAAGGCTTATAGAACCAAGCGCAAGGTGTAGGGGAGCGTAAGTAAAATAAAACAATAATTTGTAAGATAAACAAGTTTATTCGATATAAGCGTTTCCGTCCTTTCTTTGGACCATCTTCAGTATAATGGAAACATACATAAACCATGAAGAAGAAACTATCTTACAATATTCAAATGATCGATGGCATTAAATGTTTTATCCGTACTAATAGCCGTTTTAATTATCAGATTATATATCTTTCCTTCTTAAAAGTTTGAATACGATATCACCAAATCGACAACTTTTCAACTTTTGTAAAATTTACAGGAGTTATAATGTTCCCATGAATGCGTTACGATCATTCCGACCGTAATTTCTTCGCTTATTCTTCTAAATCTCTTCTTGTCTGTTCCTTCTTCTTTGTCTATTCCCTCTTTTTCGTCTTCTTTTTCCTTCGTTAAATTGTGTCTATGTGTGTAGAAAATTAGAATTAAAATAATTTTGTTATATTATTATATAAATATTAAAATACAGAAGACAATTTAATGTGCGTAATAAATTACCATTACTGTCCTTGCGATGTATTTATATTCAGTTTTAAGTCTTGTTTTAACTTGTTCACGTTCATTTAAAGAACGACGTAGTACGTCACTGTGGAAATATATTTCTCTCCATGTGCTATTATATATATTTCGAAATCGCAAATCAGCAGTCACTTTTTCGCGAAACTCACTTGCAATAATTTCTGTTATCTGGAAAAAAACAGGCATGTAAATAAAATTTTGGTTATAGACAAAAAGTTTTTTTTCATTGCTCATAAAATATTATTTATAAGATGTAATTGTTGTTATTTTTATTAACTACTCCTAAAATTATTAAAAACTATATATAAGAAATTACTAACCCATGTATAATGTATTGCATTAAACTGTCCTAAATTCTCATCACATATCCCTTTGATAAGAGTTAACGGATGAAGTCGATCGGATTCTTTCACACACAAAAATTTTGTATATTTGTGATCTTCATTACTGAAATAAAAAACATATATACATATATAAAAAGTGTTAATTGTACGATCTACGATTTCTTTAACTTTTGTAATGAACTGTTTAAAATGTTATATATGTAAATTAAATATATATTTTTTATATTAGTAAAATATTTCACATGTAATATTTTTATGCAAATCAATATATTTTATTATTTGATATCCAAAATTTAAAATAAACTGTGCAAAATATACAGAGTAGACAAAATAAAGCGAATTTTTATCTCCAAAAATATTGTTTTTGAAAAAAAATTTTCAAATAAAAGTTGTAGGATTTCGAAAGAGAAAGAAGTTGGCGCTACTGATTCTTTCGTAAAAGATGATATCCAAGATTATTTGAAGGTTATTTACGTTCTTTTTTATAAGTGTAAGATGGAAAAAGTGAATAGTTTGCTAGATATTTTATACTTAATTTTAACATAATTTTACATAAATTACATTAGTACATAAATTTTACATAAATATATCATAAAATATTCATTTTTTATCGATTCTAAAGCTGAAATTGTACTTACTACGTCGGATTCCAAAATATTGCAATAGAATTTTTACGCCATGTAGTTTGGAATACAGCGCAATGTATACCAAGTCTTCTGGCTACACTATAAAATGTAACAATTGATAGGTTCCTTTGAAGAGATTCTGAAAGCTAAATCATAAATTATATTAAAATAATTCAACATTTATAATATTATATAAACACATATAGTTATGCTATCGCTCAGCGCGATAATTATATCTATAATTATAATATGTATTTGACAGAATTTGAATAAACTTACGTATTTTATATAAAATTCGTTTGTTAGTTGAAATGTTGTCAATAATTCATCAATGTTTAGTTCATTGAATATAAATTCTTCAATTACATTCATAATTTGTGTGGTCTCTGTTGGATTCCAGAAATTGTAAGAGATATTGTTGTCCCTCCAATAAGAAAATTTGTCCTCGGGGATCGAAGATATCGAATGCGTAGGATAAATATTTTTAACATTTTGCCGTATTTTTTCAGCAATATTATTTAACCACGTTTTTATGACAAAAGAAGAGATATGTGGATAATTGTATTGTGCCACAATAGTAAGCACCTTTTCTAAAAGCTGATTTTCTATTGGTTTATTTAAAAATGTGTGAAGTTTGTATATAAATCGATATAATTTTAAGCAATAGAAAATTAGCTCGAAGTTATCTTTTGGACGATTGTCTTGCCTAAAAAATATTTATATATTAACTTTACAATTATTACACTAAATTATAATATTGATAACAATACAGTATCTATTACATTACCCTCGTGCAGAAATAATTCTATTTAGATTATCGAAGACAAAATAATACATCATTGAATCTTGAACTGTGGAGCGCAGAAGCTCTTCCAATTTACTTCTTTCGGTGTATTTTACTTTCTTGTTTGACATCAGGGACTCATGATGTTTCAGTTCTTTCAAGCATTTCATACCTTTTGTTATTTTTTGTTCAAATTTGATATAGTAAAGTTGATATCCTCGTCTGTTGTTATACTTTTTTCCTGCAGTAGGATACCTAAAATTAAGGGAGACACTTCTTATTTATTAAACAACGTTATATCAGTAATCAATTATGAACAATATAATTTTTGAAATATATGGATATATTAATTTTTTAATTGCATACACACATTAATAGTAAAGAAATTATAAATATTAATATGAACGTATCTATTAGAAAAATATAACTACTAATTTACAAAATTAATTTTTTTAGACAAATTAGTTTAATTAATAATTTTTGCAACGCCTGTTGCGAAAGTTTGATTTTCGATTGTTGTTTAGCGTGCGGAAAATTGCTTATTTCTCAACAATTCAATGTATGCCTTACTTTACCACACTAGTGCGAGAAAAGCATCTTTATTATTTACTTTACCGCACTAGTGCGGAAAAAATATTCTTTCTTCTCGATTGACATAATAAACTTGAACGTAACGAAATTCACGCGAGACAAAACGTCAATTTGTTATAACCTTTACTATTCAAGAAGGATCAAATGGATAAAAGAAACGAGTGTTCAAGACCATCCACGCCGTTAGAACTTATAGAAGCAGCTGAATCTGCCACGAAGATTTTATTACCGAAAAAATCATAAGTAAGTACATGAGTAAAAACATCTCAAATCGAACTTTCGCGATAGGCATTACAAAAAATATTGTATGTAGCATGTGCGAAGAACAACGAATACATCGCGCGTAAAGTTGCCGCATTTGCTTTAGCTTATGATGCATTAAATTTTAATAGTATCTTATGTGGCAAGGGCGGAAAATAACGAAATACATCGCGGGTGAAGTTGCCGCATGAGCCGAAGGCTTATGATGCATTCACACAAGTACGAGTGTGAATGCATCATAAGCTAAGGCAAATGCGGCAACTTTACGCGCGATGTAT